GGGAAGTGAATATGCAGTGCTATGAAGACACACTCAATGGTAAAGCACGGAATTACTCGAGAAGGAAGTCAGTTAACAGGTCAAAACAAAAAAACAGTTATKATAGCCTCAGTTACAGAAAAAACGAYACACTTCGATTGAGCCCTACGGAGCAGAAGTTGAGCCTTGTTACACTAATGAAATTTGACGAGGAAGTGGAGCTWTTCGAAAAAAAAAGTAAAAAAATCAATGGACTTGACACCGCACTAAATGAAGTCAAATCATGTTAGCTAAACAGATAAAGAGGTAAAAGATAATGTGAAAGAGACAAGAGCTTGGGGAGCTCACAAAAAATCAGTGGTCTACCACACCAAATGAAGTTAAATCTTTGATAGCTAAATAGGTCAAAGATAAAAAAAAAAAGACGGCAAAACCTAACTTCATGAACTTGCMAAAAAAATCAATGAACTTAASAAAAAAATGAATGAAATCAAATCTTGCGAGCCAAGTATACGCATATGAACTTGTTAGAGGCAAAAAAAAGTTTTTCAAGGAACTAATTGAACTATTCATAATTGAACTATTCAAGACACTGCAAAAAAAATGCGATAATTTCTGATAAATGATTAATGTACAAAGATTTTTTAACAACTCAGGAAAAAAAAAATGTATATTTTGTTACGTCTGAGAGTTATTATTTGCGAAAACTTATAATAAAAAAAAAAATTGAGTTATCAATATCAGTTCTCGTGAATTTTATGGATAAAATGCGCTGAAAGAAAAAAACATCCCACGCATTGATACTGAAAACTAAAAATAACTTTCTCACAGTTTCGCGCAAAAAAAAGGAAAATATGAAAATTCAACGTTATAAAATGAAAACACTTTGGCCACTAGAGCAAAAAAAAAACAATGAAATTTTTCACATAAGAGCACGCAAAGCCCGTTTTTGAGTCTAAAGAAAAAAAATCAAAACCGTTTTCACAAAATCTCGAATGCTGTGCAGCTTCAAGGTCACAAAAAAAAAAAAAAGAAATACTTATGTGTTGTTCTTCTTCATGTTTTTTTTTTTTTTCAATGCGGAAAAAAAATTGAATATCTCGAAAGTTCCTTAACACGTAAGCAGTTAGTGGGTCCTTAAAACGCTTTATTGGTTCTGCTTATTTTACTTGAGATTATATTTGAACCGTTATAAATTATACCTGAAAAAAAATGCCAAGTTGACTACTCCATGCTATTTCGGTACATTGGGCTGCTATTTTGAGATAAAAAAAAGACGTAAACTTGGTTGGCATATAGATATCAAATAAACGTGTAATGCCTATATTAAAAAAATATATGGTGGAAACTAGTGTGAGCTGCATCGGTGTTTCTAAAGTTGTGAAATACAAAAAAATCATTTAACACCGAAAGTATATGTCAAGTATATGACTATATGATTGAGGGGGCTAAAAAAAGCTCGTTCTCTGGTTTTCGGCACCACTAACAGGGGGTCGTAGGTGGTCAATAGTCTACCTTCCAAGTTAAAGTTCGATACAACTTTATTTTCTGTTTTGTTACGCAAATAAGCAAAAACAATAACAGAGACTAAATATAATTCAGTAGTATYAAAGYTTTTGAAAGAAAGGCCYATAAAAAAAGCACAAATTTWACCAACAACCATCGCATGCAACCTGCCCAAGTCAATCCCCAAGAAATCTTAACAACATGGTTACGACTGTCGTAGTGTTGTCAAATAAACAATTAGTCATAAAGAAAAAAATGGGAAAGCTGCATGCGATGGTTGCAGGCAAACGTTGTGCCATCTAATTCGGCTAAAAAAAGCCTCCCAAACTAATTCATTGATCAAGGTCAGCCCCTCCCCCCTTTCCTCGCTAAAAAAAAGAAGTTGGCTTCGACTCTCTTTATTTGCCAAAGAAAAGTCTGAAACAAATCACTAAAAAAAATATTCGAGATCATCAGAGATATGCGAATATTAGAGTGATTTTCGGTCATTATAAAAAAAAATAAACGCAGGCTATCTTAGTTATTTTTAATAAGGTATGACTCTGCAGTCGTTGAAAAAAATAATAAGTCAGTAAACACTCGAGAAATCAACAGGTCTAATATAAGAGGCTGGTCAAAAAAACGGATGTTATTATTTCATTCATATTATTTGTCATTATTAGACGGTAATAATGATAAAAAAATACCTACGAAAAACTCTCACCTATTATTATAATCTTAATCAATTAACAATTAGTAAAAAAAATAAAGACATCTTCCACAGATAGCAATTTCAGCGTTCAATGCCCTGAGGCACCAATCACGATACGATTTTAGCCAAGTGTACATATATAGGTTATGTATACAATGACGTACAGACAAAAAAAGCTATTTATAAGATAATTATTTGTATATGAGGTCGGCAAATCAAATCACTCTTGAAAAAAATAATTGCAAAAGTTTTGATCATTTTCGCTAAATTCTTTTAACAAAAGATGACGTAAAAAAATGTAAATGACATCAAACAGTATGTTTCTTATCAAAATATTTAACTATTGTGTAAAAAAAAAAATCGTTTCCATATAAGGAAGAACCATGTGCAGTAATGTTTAACGAAACGTATGAAAAAAAAAATTGTTTTTACAAAGTAGTTGTTAAAAGTTCATGATTGAAATAACAATAATAAAAAAAATACCTTATAAGGCCCCAAAATCTCTTATTAATTTTATTGAACAAAAAATGTAATAAAAAAAATAGTCCTAACAAACAAATTTATCAATACCTTTAGGACATTGTCAATAATTGTTAAAAAAACTGTAAACGTTTGTCCTTTTGTAATAAGAGGTTAAAAACATAAACAGATTCCTAAAAAATATATATACTGCGAAGCAAAGTCACTTGCACTAGGTTTTYTAAAATAAWATAATTCAAAAAAATTATTTTCCGCTTGAGTAAAGCTATTTGAGCTTAGTACACAAATGCTGGARGCAAAAAAAATGACTTCYAGGGAARCTACACGAAATGTAGTAAAGTTGGAAACTTACGAAATAAAAAAAAAGTCAAAMTAAATTTTYTGGACGGTTGTGTCCGCTTTGTAGAGGTGGTCGTTGTATGAAAGGTTTAAGATTCATTTTAATGATTAACAAACAAGTAGTGCTGAGTAAGGGTATATTAAAAAAAGTTAACTAGGAAATGACGTCAATGTTGTAAGAGTTTTCTATTCGTGATATTTACAAAAAAAGAAACCACGATAAGTCTCAGGGAAATGCTTTGTCATTTCCGTAAAATAACGGAAAAAAAAATGAGCCAACAGRTTGCGCTACGTATCCGTAAAGTCGTAACATAACGCACGACGCAAAAAAATCAATAGATGGATCCAATATGGCGGCTATGACGTAACATATAACATAAGGCAAAAAAAAAAAACAATATATCCTAAGTAATAAAATTAGTCAAAACGCCTACCAAAAATAAACAGAAAAAAACGTAAATGACTAAATATGACAATCACACAATAAATTACGATAAAAAGATAGTAAAAAAAAATATTTTAGTAATAAAACTATATCAAAGTTTATTAGTAATACATTTACAAAAATAAAAAAAAAATTATAGATTTATTTATCGAAAAAGCTGACTTGATAATCAATATAAATAGAAAAAAAAAAAAAATAAACTTTATAAAATGGGCTTCCTGTGTTTTCTATCTTCTTGCCCTACCCAAAAAAAGACAAGATTTGCTTCGTGGCATCGAGGTGTGATCACAGAAGAACCAAAATATGGCGATGATCTGATAATCTTTTTCTTCTCAAAACAAAATCTTAACTTTAACCAAAACAATGAAGGAAGTCACTTGAAAATCGACAAAAATTATCAAATAATGTAAAGTCTTTTCAGATTTGAAATCAGAGACGAAATCAGAATGGATTCCGGGTAAGATATGGCTGATGTGATCTCGTAATTGGGAAAAAAATCCTTGTTTTGGTTTATATCTAACTTTTGACATTGATAATATCAGGGAAGGAAACGAAGTGAAACGACGGACTCATCCCGAGAAAGGTAATTTAATTTTATAACATTTTCTTGATTTGTTTTGCTTGATCGTGTAATATGCTTTATGTAGYTGTAGTTTTAGAAGTAGATKTTTTTAAAAAAATGTGATTTCGACATCTGATTTGCAAACATTGGTTTTCGAGGTCGGTCATTGTGGAAAAAAACCCTCATTTATTGAACAGYTTTTATTCAAAAACGAAACACTTTTATTGCCTGAAAAAAAAAGCTTGTAAAATAGAAATAAAATAATGAAATATTTTTAGCTTTTTAATAGATTCTAAAAAAAATTTCTTTTTTTTTTTCTCTCTTTCTATTGCGGCAATTGTTGAACATAATAATCAAAAAAATTCCAAATACAGGTTAAATGTTTAAAGTCTGCAACCTTAGTAGACAATGAGATGAAAAAAAACACTAAATGTTATCCAAATGTGTCTTATTCTGTCAATTCAAGCAATAAAATCCAAAAAAATATTTATATTCACAATCATTTGATTCATTGATCCATTGATCAAACAATCACTTAAAAAAAATTGGCTGCACTCTCAAACTAATCAGTTATAATATAATATGCTTATGAAAATTTTAAAAAAAATTGAAAATAAAAATGTTTACCATGCATGCAGTGCATTTATTATTACAAATAATAAAAAAAAAATGTTATGCTTGAAACACTTTGCCTAAAATTGCATTAATTTAACAAATTATAAAAAAAAAAAGGTTTAGTACTGTTTTGCCTCATTTTGTTTGCAAACCATGGCTTACAGATAAAAAAAATAAACCGTTAATAAGCTAAGTATAGTCTAACATTCCAAAGTGAACAATTTTCTGAAAAAAATTCCAAGCATGGATTGATAATTATCTAAGTTATAACACCATATCTTACAGTATTAAAAAAATTTTGTTCACAGACATGCAGGCATAATTTTTACTCTTTCTGTAAACAGAAGATGAAAAAAAGACCARCGATCCCGTAGCAGAAGAAAATGAATCTGACAAACAGTGAGTGACATTAAAAAAATTACATGTTGTTTGTCAAGTACAGAATGTATGACAATCGCTTAATAAGTAATATAAAAAAATATTGTTTTATATTCACAGGCTCTCACTGTCATATGAGGAACCTCCTCCTTTATAAAAAAAAAGAGTATTTTTTCTAAACATATCATGGTTTGGTCTCAATGTCATGTACCTTATAAAAAAAGTAGAAGGTAACCATTAATAAGAAACAGATCTGGAGATGCCCATTAGGGTACCA